CATTAACAATTAATGAATTATTATTTCTTGTCTTTTATACTTTGATCGCACCCTCAGAGATCGCACTATGGCAATCGAACACTATTCACAATTTTAACACAATGTGTGACCTTGCTACATGGAAGTCATTTAGAAGCACAGCGACAGACAGATATCAAATTTTAATACGATTGATTGATTAATTGATTGATGTTTGCTTAACGTCCAGTGACAAATATTTCATGCATGTTCAGACGAGAACAAATCAACAATAAATAAAATAGGTATGTCCTGTAATAGAGGCTTTCCGGGATGAAGATCGGGGAAATTTAGACTGCCACTTGATAATGAGGGAATGGGATAGAAATTAAGCCTTGCAACAGGCCACCTACGCCCCCACCAAAGGGGTTGGTGCAAGGGTTCGTAACTTGCAGAGAGTTTGGCACTCTCTCTACACGAGGCATCGGATTTAACGCCCCCATTCTGACTGGACGTGGCTATGTACTTATACATCCCGCACAGCCAAACGGAATCCCCACAAGGGTTTTACTGCCGGTCGGAAGAAGGCCAAAGTGACCATGTTTTTATTCCCCAGTCAACCTTGAGTTAATTTAAATACGAAATTATCTCAAAGAAGTAATGCTATAAGATTAAAGAGCTGTAGTATGTTTGCCAATGAGACAATTATCCGACGGAGACCAAAGGACGAGGATGTTAACAACTACATAGGTCACACGATGTTATACTATTTTATCACTTTTAAAAAAAAGGCAGAAGATAACAAAGGGAGAATAGAAAATCACAAGTCGAAAAAAAACCCCAGAAAATCATAGCAAAAAACTGAAAAACGATGAAATGACAAACAATAGTCTACAAAACACTACATGATGGAATAAAGACTGAGCAACATGAACCTTACCTTAAACCCGAGGTTATTGCAGGTGCCCCGGAAAGGTTAACAGGTCTTGGTCCACATGTACTTGAATTTTTCTTTTCTATTTACTTTGGCTATTGAACAAAATTAAGCTGATGCTATACACACTCTATTACCTTGCTGCATGTAAATCATTGAGAAATAAAGTGACAGATATCGCAGTATGGATTAGCAAGATTTCATTTACAACAGGAGAAAGTGTTTTGCTATTTTACCAGTGATCATTAACTTTCAAGTTTAATCGGTTGATTTTCAATATTTGGTCCTGATGATACCCGTGTATTCATTAAGCCAATTCTGGCGGTTTTTGCCATTTTCTAACATTCTTCTGATATAAGAGACTTTTTTTCGCACCGATTTATATTCGAAAGTTGCTTACATACATCGCTCTAAAAATAAGGTGCTTTGTGTTTCCGATGTCAATTCATTTGAATGAGAAAGACACTGGATAAAAAGTCCTCTGAGAACTAAATTAATAAGCAGACAGACATAGAAAAATTAAATATGAGAATCAATGCCAAATAATACAGGTATTTTTTTCCCTTTGTTTATTTATCTCATTTTTGCAAGTTGTCCAATTCAATTAGCGGATAACTGTAAAAAGACATATTTTTGGCGCAAAGTTTCACAAGTAAAAATAGTACTCAATGTCACTGTTATCTGCTATAATACTTTCAAACACTAGATTCTTTTATTTCTTTATTTAGGTCAGTCACATGTCAGAGCTTTACTTGGAAATAGGGGTTAAATATAAAATAAACGGACACATGTACTAATATGTTATATCGAATTAAATGTTATATATCAGTTTACGGAAAAGGCTTTAATATTTTTAGTTGTGTTTTTAGAGGAAATTAATATGAACACGTGTACTTGTTTTTGAAAAATGTGCTTATAAGGTGCCGAATAAAATGATGATTGCTAGAAAACTGCTAATTTCTAACTAACCGATTGAAAAATCTCAAGCTTTGTATAAATATGTGTAAATATGTGAATCAAAATGTTAAACAATCAACAATGAAGCCTCCTCAGCATTACGATTTGTGGCGAAAATTGAAATTAGCAAAATGCAACCAGTAAAATATAATCTGATCTGAATCATTACATTCATTGTACTACTGTAAATTCAGAAATTATTTCGTGCATTTATTATTGCGATTGTTGACCGATGTATACAATGCGATATTAATTATTGCGATTGTTGACCGATGTATACAATGCGATATTAATTATTGCGATTGTTGACCGATGTATACAATGCGATATTAATTATTGCGGCTTCAGGAAATGCTGCATACAAATAATGCTATCAAAATTTAAAAAACGAGTTTTTATTTTTCCAATCACATATCTCGTCACAATTTTCGCAAAAAAATTGCAAACATTTTTAAAATTTCTAAATCTGCCTGTACTGCTAAAATTTACCCACCTGAAATATGGCTTAATGAATCAGTGATCTGTGTAATCTAGACTTCGGTTTAAACATTGTCCAAGAAAGTCTTGAAACCAAAAATTGTCACAAATGAGACCCTCACAATGAAGATAATACATAAGATAAACGAATCTTATAAGAATAATAATAATAAAAAAAAATAAGATAAAATAAAACCGGTCTCCTGTACGTAGTTATTCAAAAACTTTGTCATTTAATTAGCAATGCTTTAGGTAGATGTTTCACTTAATCTTTTAGGAGAGGGAAAACCTTGCTTTTTAACATAAGTTAAAACTGTTTAGCAGAAAGAATGTCACACAGCAAAAAGAAAAACCAAGAAATGTCGACTTGAAGTATTAGACGTGAAATAATCAAAGTACTGAAGTACTGAACATCGGATGACCGCAAGTTATTGTGGATGTCACAAGCACTTGTCTCAGAAAAAAAATCACATCTTTATACCTGAAAGTGAGGTTAATGTACAGATGTATTTTTTTTCTGAGACAAATAAATAAATGAAAGGGAATTCAACATCATCGTAATAACTATTATATATATAATATATATATATATATATATATATATATATATATATATATATATATATATATATATATATGTATTGTAGTGATGCAAATCAATATACTCTGGTTTATATTAATATTAATATTTGTATATTACAGTTACATGTATATATAATTTTCATCCATTTGTATATCATTCTATTCTACTAATTATTAATAGTGTAGTGCAAGTGCATGGTGGACACTCTTCTATAATAATTCGATTTTTCTTATAGATTAGATTTGAGTAGGCATTCATATTTTCCCGCAAACGAGAGAGCAAGGACCAATAACTCTGCATGTATCTGTATATAATCTTCGCCTCCTTTATAGGAGATTGCAATCGTTCTTGAGATATTCTTCCGCATACGTTAACACAATTTTTCTGTACGTCTGCATAGATATTAATAATTTTTACTTAAGTACATATAAAACAGTTTAATATTTTTAAATTATATTCTAACAAAAATATTTGATGAGTATTCATTGAAGAAATGAATATATAGCAAGCGATAAGGAATGTTATCTTGCACTCGATGTTGTCGGCGTATTTATCATGTTTATAGATCGGTTAAAAACCCAAAACTAATTTACATAATGGAAATTTAGGCGATAGCAATACACCGGAATGACCTCACGGTCATCCGCTGTAAAAATCATTCCGTTAGTAGACTGTTTTGTGTTTCCACAATTAATGATTCAGGACTGCTGTAATATATTTTTTCAGGAGTCGCAGCACGATCTTCTGGAAGAGCTGGGACAAGTTGAGCAATATCTTCTGGAAGAACAGAAGCATTAACGGGTCGTAGCACTATCTTCTTGAAGAACAGAGGCATTAACGAATTGTAGCACTGTCTTAGGAAGAACAGTATATACCATAAACGAATAATTTACCCAGTGATGGCCAAAGAAATATATATTTAAGGAGATGTGGAGTATACACGTCAATAAAACATCAACCAAACGACTCAAAAAAAAAACCAAAAATACATGTAGAGGTCAAAGTACAATCCACAACAGAACATATAAAATGAGATGTTCACTTGAACTTACATGGAAATTTTCTAACAATTCGGTGATGAAAATGTAGCTGCAAAGCTATTGGAATCGTTATTAACCTGATTACAGAAATTCCTAATTAAGGCATACTAAGTATTCTTGTTATTTTTATTTCTTGAACCAGCAATTGGTCAGAAAAATCATTCCTTTCTTTCGAAAAATAAACAAGCAGTTCGATATTTTTTAATTGGAATTGAAAATTACATCAGAATGTTAACTTTAACCTCTAGACCTATTCAATGTCATTAATATTCATATATCAAAACAGATCAACATATCAATGAACAGCTGATACAAAGTATAATTCCCGAAAACGTATATGATTTTTAAATATCTTAGGTCAATAAATAAGTTTATTTCAAGGACAAGATTTAATGTTTCTGATCAACATATCAGTTTCTAAAACTTTTCTGGGGTAAACGAACGTAAATTTATCACATAAAAAATATACATGTAGATGAAAAGAGATGTGAAGTATACGTCCATGAAACAGCAATCAAACGACACCGAAAAATCAAAAAGACAACTAGAAGTCAAATTTCTGTTTAGAACAAAACGTGTGTTCAAATAAAATAAAAAAACTAGAAACGGACTTGCGTGGAAACTTTGCTAATAATTCGGGGTGTAAACTAGCTTCTAAACTATTGGAATTGTTATGAACCAAATTACAGAAACTCCTGACAAACAAAGTATTCTTGTTGTCACCAGAAATTGGTCAGAAGAATCATTATTTTCTTTCGAAAAATAAACAAGTAGTTCGGTTACTTTTAAATTGAAAATGAAAATTATATCAGATTGATAACTCAAACCTCTACATATTCAATGTCATTTCAACATTAATATTTATATCCAGCTGATACAAAGTATAATTCCCGAAAACCGATGTTCAATTTTTAAATATCTGAGGTCAATATACTAAGTCTATTTCAAGGGCAAGACTTCAGGTTTCTGATCAACACCAACGTAAATTATCTTTTGAAGATTAGATTTAAATTGTCGTCGGGATTATTCTGTTTCTTTCAATTTAACTTACTAAAAGCCTCAACATCTATAATCAAATATCGACGACCTTGCACTTTTAATCTGTTTTCTGTTCTTTTTGCGTTTGTTTTGATTATACCTAATCCAAGGTCTTCTTTTTCACTGGCCTTCAAACATTTCAAGTATGGATTGCATACCTGAATAATTATTGCATCTTCTACAATTTAAAGAAAAAGAAATATTCAAATGTTGTGATGTAAACAAAAACAACAAGAAAAGTAAAATATTAAAAATCGTGATTTTTTAGTTAAAAGAGAAGATGTTTCGAAATCTGAAGCAAAGAAATTGGTATATAATAATAGTCTTTTTAAAAAGCATGTGTAAAAAATGTATATATATAGAAAATAAATAGTATGGTAGTTTATAAATGGTCGGGAACCCACAAACAAATAATCAGTACGTCGGTCGTAAGTGTTTAATTCGTGAAAAAAAGGAAAAAGGTAATGCCAAAACATGGCACATATTATTGATATTTTCGAAAATAATTTAAATATAATTTTTATCAGTCAATGAAAGAAGCGTTTAAAGTCATCGATATTTTTTGTTCTAATCAACGTTGAAACTGTCTCATTGTTTAATCTTTGATTAGTTTGTTGCAGTTTAGTAAAAACAAATGCAATTATAGTCAAGAAAACATATTTTCCGAAAGTAATTTTGAAATTGTGATGAACAAAGTAAAGCCAGAAAAAAGACCCACGTATCATCGATATTTGCAGAATTATATTTTGAAATTGTCTTCTTTCAGAGTAATAATAGAAGTGATAATACTGTAATGAATTGCTGAGGTAAGCAAAGAAAATGATTTGATAATATTTGTATTTAGTTTTACAAGAAGTATCCTTTAAATGCGAATTTCTCGAAACATAAAATCTGATATCAAATTTTCTAAAAATGAAGCTACAAGTTCTGTTTAATGAAAAAGACGTCATATAAGTTTTGTGAAATTGAAACTATAAGTTTTGTTTAAGGTGAAAAACTTGGTACTAGTTTCCTGAAAATGAAAGAACAAAGAGAATTCAATGATTCATGTAAAAAAAGAACAAAAGAAAACACATGTATGAAAAATGAACAGTAAATCGTCAAGGCGCGAATTCTTTGAACAACCATCACACAAAACACACATCTTTAAATATAAGAATATCATTTCATTTAATTTTGTCCTATACGTATTATATTACAGTTACTAACGATGTAACCATCTTGAAGATTCATCTTGTTTACCAGTACTTAGAAATGATGTAAACATTTGATTTTAATCATTTTTATATATTCAGCCAAATTTAAGACATATTTCTACATAAACATCTGATGTTTGAACATGTATGTCAAAAAAGAAAGTATAAAACACTCAACCATACAAGTCGTATGACGTATTCCTTGTTATTCGTCGTCAGATTTTCGGAAACAAGATAGGAAATAAACAAATGACTATTATATATAAACCTTTTGATGGCTTGTTTACACGAACAGGCTATGGGTGAACAGTTCAAAACTTTCAATATGCAATGCATATTTTTCTTTAATGGATGACCGGATACAACAAAACAGGTCATAATTAACTTCAAACTCTAGATCTCAAGTTCTTATTGACAAATTATATATACCCTTTTAATCGTAGATTTATTATTCCTTTACTATTAGGAATCGCAGTTTACAACTAAATGTATAAAGGCAAAACAAAAAACCCATTGAAGGATATTTTCAGCAATTCCTGCAGATATTTGGACGACATATTCTCTGTATAGACATGCAGTTTACCCTTACTAAATAAAAAGTAAAAAACAAAGAGATCGCCTCCCTGTTAACACACCTTGATTTTCTTTTTTGTGGCAATTGTCAAACAAAAAAATACGACAAACATTTCTTAGCATTTATTCCCTTCTTGAAAATTTATTTCCGATGGATCCTTCTTGCTGATATTCATTTTTCCAATATTTTTTTTTATACACTAATTCTTTGCATTGACCAGTTTAACTCCATCACATGTCTATGTGTCTACCCAAAGACAGAAACGGCGTCGGGGCTGTCTGTAGTTATCATTTAAAGGGCCGTTGTCAACGATCAAGACAGGATATTAAAGTATGTTTTTGTTTTGTTTCAAACATTAATAAAAGCGGAATAATGAAATTATATTTCTCTATGGGAAGCCAGTTTGTTTTAATTTTGTAAATATAGGCTAAAAAATTTGGGTCCGTATATGTACTCAGAATGTTCAGTTATTCAAAAAAATAGAATGTCAAAATTAAAAAGTGTAGCCACCAGGAAAAACCATTTCGCTGACTGATTTGGTCCACAAAAATCATTCTTATTCAGGCTATGTTACATCTTGTACAGGCATCTATTCATTGTTGAAGGTCGTATGTTAACCTCTATGTGTCTTTCTCCTTTTTTGTGTCGTATGGTTTCTGTCCTATTGGCGCATATTCCACATCATCGTTGATTCACATAATCATTCTTTCAAGGATCACCGTACATCGACATGGACACTGCAGAGCCTTTGCAATCTATTTCATTGTTGAATCTATTGATGTGCATTGATCATCGGATAAGAGTAAGTAAGTAAATAAGTAATTTTATTGAAATAAAGTCCAAATATTGAACTATCATCACTGAATTACAAAATGAACATAAAAGGCAAGTGATTACAAAATGGAAAGAAAAAAAAATAGTCAAGTAATTATTTTTCTTCAGTGGATTTTCCTTTTCTAACAAGGTAGATAATATGCCTGCGCAAGAAAGTTGGTGTTTACGTATCACAAGTGGTTCTAAACTTAGATTTTGATCTACATTTATTTACTTTTAAGTCATTATCTACGAAACCATACTAAATATCCCGGTATAAACGGAAAGTTTACAGTCGCTTTCACAAATAACTTGATAGTATATGCCAATGTCAGCATTATTCATAAGAACGAAACACACTATATCTAAATCTGTTCTTATTCTCTTATCGAACTTCTTTAATATGTAAGAAAAGAGTTACCTGCCCTTGGTAAAGGCGGTTTGAAGTTTTTGTGTCCGTGTAAACAAGCATTTCATTGAAGATGAGCGAATATATTAGACACAATTCATACAGATATTAGTGTAAACACAACCCACAATGATTTTGAGTAAGCTAGGCATTACAAATCCTGAGATATTAGATGTAGAAGACCCATTAGATCGAGATTTTGACTCAGATTACGTGCAAAACATAATGGCGCTCAACCCTCTTTTTCCGGTTGAAAATATTGAAAACATTAATCAAAATAAAAAGCATTTAAAGCCTGAGGACGACAGCAATGATACATTACAACAATATGAAACAGACCCCAGTGTTTTCATAGAATAACTTTAGTTGGGTACCGTATCGAACCAAAAGTCGGGAAATCCAATACAAATTCTTTTGTGAGTATCCGGCAAAACCAAAGTATAAAACAGAACAGAGCACTCCTAATAGACAATCCCTTCACAGTTTTGTTTAAAAGATATAACGTGAGGGTACCCAAATTGCATCTTTTTTGACAGTCTTTTTTTACCTTCGTTTATTTGAGAAAAAGACACAAGTTTCTGTTCTATTTTTTAGATGTATATATAAATAAGAAGATATGGCATGAGTGCCAATGAGACAACTCTCCATCCAAGTCACAATGTGTAAAAAGTAAACAATTATAGGTTAAAGTACGGCCTTTAACACGGAGCCGTGTATGCTTATTTAGCCTATATTTCGCCAAATTTGAATTTGAATCCGCACTGTTTCATGGATAAAATGGGTTTGAGCCGACTTCCAAACAATCCAAGATACTGTAATAAGGAGTACCTAAATCACACGCAAGCTTAAATCACATACGTGATTCTGTTATGAGGAAAACCTAAATCGCACACAAACTTAACTTCACATTTGTAATTCTGTAATGAGGAAAACATAAATCGCGCACAAGCTTAACTTCACATCCGTGATTTTGTAATGAGATGTACCTAAATCGCACACAAGCTTAACTTCACATCCGTGATTTTGTAATGAGATGTACCTAAATCGCACACAAGCTTAACTTCACATCCGTGATTCTGTAATGAGGAGTAAAAATCGATGTTTTGTTTTATTTCTCCATGTATAGAACAATTTGACAATAGCCCATGGTTATAAGGATTTTGTAGGATATTGATGCTTATGATATATTTTTTAATTTCTCATTTTTAAAGTCGACTTTTAGTGGACGTCGCATGGGCCTTTCCATACATTCTCCTTTTTTCATTGGAGACGTCCTCTGATGATGTATAAGGAACGTTTTTGTGCATCATTAAAATACTTATCTATGTTTAAAGACATGTATAATGACAATTAAAGAAATAGATTTCTGTCGTTTTTTTGGGGGTTATGAAATGGTTCAAATTGGATACTCGGTTTAATTTGGGTACTGTCGGTGGACAATGTTTTCTCTTACATGTTGAGATGATATTTTTTTTTCAATTTTCTTATTTAACAATTATAGTGAATGTCCTAAACCAGCTACACAAGGAAATTATATTTCAGTATCCTTGTATATTACGTCACCTTTAACCAATACAGTACATATGTTTTTCGGTAAATGGAACAACCCTATGATTGCGGTCATATTTACATTGAGTTCCAGGAAAAACGAGGTCACCGGATATGGTAAGTATAGCGCAATCCATTTGGTTTACACTTATTATAACGTTTTTAACCATTAAAAGTGTAGTAAACATGCACTGGTAATATGTCAAGCAGACAATTTCTTTATTAGTTGGGTGGAATCTTAGTACAAGTTTCATACATTATCAAAAAGCTTACTTAGTATTTCAATTTTCAATGTTAGAAAGAAAGATTCTTGCCCAAGAAATCGCGTCATATGAAAAATCTCTTGGATTTGTTGTGCACATTAAATGTTTCCGTCATCAATTATACACAGGTTATTCACTTTTCTTGGAAAGGTTTCAAGAGTCCTATTTAGCAGGCCCCTGGCGTTACAATTCGATAAATTCTACCCAATCATTTTAGCTGAAAAATGGGTCAGCCTAACAATGCAAAACAAAGCTGTGCAACAGATATGTAATTTGTTTAAATGTTTACATGCCTTATTTATAAATTTATAAAATGTTAGAGCATTTTTTTTTAACTATCACGGTTTTTATATTTCTATTAATTGATATAAAATATGTAAATAGATTTATTACATGATAAAAATTTATATAGAAATAAAATAAATTACAAGAATATAAAAACAATCAACATAAATAAATCAGACTGCATAAAATGATTGATGGATCTTTTTTTATCCCGATGTCCAGTGCATATTCATTATAAGACCAGATTAACCAAAGGGCGAGAATTTTGGACTGACACTGAAAAAAAAAAGATAGGAACAAAAAAAATGTCTTGCAACAAGCCATCTGCGGACAAAAGTAAAAGTTGTAGCAAAAGGATTTTTTTATTTGCAGAGAGCCTGGCTTCCTACACTAAACGCAACGATTTTAAGGTCCACACGGACCTTGTTTCATATCTATATACCACGGTTCAGACAAAGGAACTATACCAAATCAGTCACCATATAGGTTCTACTTACGGACAGGAGACTTCCAAATGACTGTATGTCTATACCACAGTCGTCTCTTACGGCTAAAATAATAAAAATAAACTTGTTCAATTCGAATGCATTGAATTATTATGAATATTCAACTATGAAAATTATTATTTGAAATAATAGAAGTTGTCAAAAATTCATAAGAAAAAAAATGATCTAATATCAACCAGTTTCAAGCAAACCAACGGCCTCCCGAAAAGTGCATAGAGACTGTTTTAAGATGAACACTTAAGAGTTTAATTTATAAGTTGAAGCAATGTTGAGTGTGGCACACTGACATTCCATTCTCATCCTAAAAAGTAAAGGATAAGTTACAAAGAATTGTTGATGACCTCTGTATTAATGTGAAAACTACAATATTTTTTTTATGTTGGTGTTAATTTTGAAGATCATTGACCATATAAATACAAGTTTTTGTTTCACATCGTGAAGACCTTAACACTAACAGTGTTATACCTTTTTACATATGTTATCTTTAAGTTGTGCAAAAAAAAAAGGTAGACTGTCGATTTTTGAGACGTTTTGAATACGTATTTTTCTACTTCTTTTATTATATTGTTATACCACGTATCAAAAATTTTGTCTCAATATTTGCTCTTCATGTTTTAAGCCTTCCGAAAAATTTCTTTATGATGGATTAAGACAAAATCTTCTGAAGTGTTTATCCGGGTTGAAGAACAAATCCAGTGACATATCCGTACATTTAGTCTCTCTATTTCAATGTTACATACATAGTATTCAAACCACGGCGCCAATAAATGTTATTGGATATCCTGCATAAAAAATGTATGCTTTAACATAAAATAAGGTCAAATTGCTGAAAGACCCCCGCCCCCCTTTTGCCAAATTGATTGAGATCTATCATTTTGCATTAACCATAATATCCAGGTGTAAATTAACAAAATTAACAATATAACGCCCTCATGGTTGTATCTAATCTGGGACCAATAAACAAATTCATGTATTAGTCCCAGATCGAATACAAACATTTATTTCATGTGAAGATCTTTTACTTTAATTTTTATTTGTCTTACATGTATATTTAGTCACAATCCTATTGTTTGAATTTAATACTAATTAATACTTTTTTTTTACTTTCCCTCAGTTTCTATCATATACGCCGTAGATCTCTTTCACATTTAATACTTCCAAGTAAAACCATAGTTAAATTAACGATGAAAGGAAGTATCAGAATTCTTTAGTATTCATATACTGTAGAATTATTGGATTATATATATACATACATGCGAATCCGATTACTGTTACCATAAACCGCCGTTAAATTATTGGAAAAAGTAGAGGATTTACTCATCATTGAATTTAATACAACTTCATTCATTGTATGCAAAAATGAATATCATTTTACGACGAATTACAATGATTTGTGTGAAACCACACTTAATAATGCATCTATTTGTTAACTTCACCTGTGTTATATACATAATTCAGCGAATTGTTTACAAATAAAGGTCACGTGTGTTAATCTTTTACTTTCACTTCAGCAATTTTATATCGTGTAAACAAATTCTTACAAAGTACTAAATATTGAAACAATGGGCATAACAATTATATCAGTAATTTCATCAATTAATTACCTGAAATATACTTCCCTGTGATAATTCTTCTTACAAGGAAAACAAATAAGTAACTGATGTTTATTTTTAGAAAGGTGGTTTCCATTTATTTATATTGACACCGTGACATGCGCTGTTTCTCGAAAGGGGATTTCCGAGGAAAACACCTGATTTTCTGAGAATGATAGGTCTCCTTTATTTTGTGAACTCTCAGTTCGATTATTCTTAGTAGCCTCGATGGTGTATTTAAAAGGCGGAGTTTTCAGTTTGTGTTTCAAATGTCTCTACGAACCTAAAAGAGAAGACATAAAATTATAAACAAAGTTAGTTACGTTATCAGTCGGTGAAGTAGGGCAAGGAGGTACATATAAATGTGTCCAAAAGATCAAATCATCGTGTTTGGATGTATGGCAGAGTCAGATTTCAAAAATTTAAGTCCACACTACAAAAAGGATTTGATAGCATACAAAGACGCAAAGATTGATAGACAACTTAAGTTACAATCTGGTGGTACGTACACGTGTCGGACTTGTCCGAAAAATACAGAAGAGAGAACTTCAGATTATTTATGTGCCAAAGACTTTAATGTCCAAAGTAGGAATATGGAATTACTTATGCAATCAAACTGGTATTTTAATGGAATGTCGAGTCAACAAGCAAAGCTAACATTAGGCAAATCAGACGTAGGAACATTTTTAGTGAGGGATAGTTCAGATCCAAACTTCTTATTTTCGGTGAGTGTGAAAACTCCTCGGGGACCAACAAGTGTACGGGTATCATATTCAAAGGGATTTTTTCAACTAGATTGTGATGTGAATATTAAATCAAGTGTGCCAAAATTTGATTCAATAGTTAGTTTAGTAGACTATTACGTAAGATTAGGATTAAATGAACGTAACAAATGTAGATGGTTAGAAAGTTCAGGACGCAAGGACTTGCCAATAGTACTTAAAAAACCAAGAGTGAACGCAGTAACTGATTTAAAACATTTGTGTAGATTGACAATCAACCGCACTCTACCTGTGTCCCAGAAAAAAGAGGAGATAGCAACGAACATTGATAGAATTAACTTACCACGGCCTTTGTCGGAGTACTTGAAATACTATCCGCATCTACATTGATGATAAATTAAACTAGGATGTTTTTATATGAAATCCAAAGAGACCACACTCTTGTTCTTTTAAGCAGCATTCTACCTCTAAAGACTAATGGTGCAAAACTTCGCAGGTATAACATATATACATGTGGTGTGTTAACATACGACGAGTCCACTAGTCGAGACAATAATTTGTGTTGGGGAGAATAAAAGACCTACAAGCTTGTGTGGATCGATTATGAAATATTTACGAACAGAGTTTGTTTAAAAATTAATTGAAAACATATCGAACACTGCCATTTTCGAAAGCAATAGTTAAATATTTAAGTATGCATGTGAAACTTAAAATTATATTTTGTGAAATTGCTAAATAATTTCTATTCGCATTCACATATATTTTCGTAACGAAACATGCAGATAATATCTATTAATAATATTTTTAACAGTATTTCGTAATTTTCTGATCGAAGGTGACAAAACGTGACAAGATAGTAATAGTATTCAGTGTATGTATATTTAATTTATTGTTAATTGTTATAAGATAAAAAAATTGAGTTTACTTTTGTATGTGTTTTATATACCGTAACAGAACTTAATAGCCAATCGGTTCAGACTTCCTTCACTGGTGTTTGTATAAGAGATATAAAGAAAAACATGCACCGATTTGTACAAATTTTGTGATAATAATTTTAACCTTATCGCCCTTACGGATTGAACTGACAAATTTAAATGTGCAGTGAGTCAATCAGTAATATATAAAGTATCGTACTCCAATGTTTTAAAAAAGGATTGTCCAATTTAAAAAAATAAACCTGTTTGTTCTATCTTGTGAATAAAGGGTATAATTTGTGGGATAGTACACAGAATGTGTATTGCCATATTTGATATCTGAAAATTTAGTCATCGACAGTATTGAAGGTGTGGATCGATCTTTGATCACTACTTTTTGTTATCCTATTAAAATTGATCTACAATTTTGTACGTTAAATATGTTATGATATCTATGTAATTAATCAATATAATTATCCGGTATCGATTAATGTCATTTAAAAATCAACATGCGATTTGAATTTGAATTGTAATAATGATATTTCAATTAAAATTTGGGGTAATATTGATATATATATATAAATACTATAAAGACATAGAGAAATAAAATTAAATAGGGAAATATTTTTTTTCTCGGAAAAACCATGATGCTAGAATAATTTGGTTCAGGAAGGAACCTCATCGTTGATTCGTCAAATAACGTTCTAAAAAAGAACCAATGCAGCTGTTATGAATTATTTTGATATGATTTTAATAATCGATTTGTAGAATACAAAAATAATAGTAGTTTATGTAAAATTGGTTTTAGGTCCGTGACTAAATAGATACTGTTATAAGGGACCTTTTTGTAATTTTGACCTGTGAATTCCGACATTTTCTAAAATATTCAGCTAACTCGAGTGGGAATAAATCATCAAAAATATACATATTGGTGTTTTTGTAATTTCCAATAATTTCTCAATAAAGATGGAAGATCAGTAATACTCAAGGAAAAAAAAAATGTATTTAGGGTTTCCCTAACATTCCTATTTTGTGTGCCTCAAAATGTCTACCCTAAAGTTTTTATTGGCTTTTTGGGTATCATATCGTGAAAAAGTTGCAGGTGGTTTGATATAAAAACAAGGAGATGTGGTATGATTGCCAATGAGACAACTATCCACAAGAGTTTAAATGAAGTGGTTGCAAGCATTTATAGGCAATCGTACGGTCTTCAACAATGAGAAAAACCCATACCGTATAGTCGGCTATAAAAGACACCGATTGGCGACATGAAAAATAAGAAACAATTCAAAAAAAAAAAAAAAAAAAAAAACAACAACCCAATTTATAACAAAACAATTTACGAAAAAAAAATATTACAGATATGAACCAACGCCGACGACTGAACTACAGGCTCCTGACTTGGAGCAGGCCCATAAAGTGTGCGTGTGGGGGTGGGGGTGGGGTAAACACGTTTGTGAGCGCTCAACCCTACTCAATAGCTTACAATACTGTATGGGTTTTGCTAATTGAAGCTGCTTTACGGTGACCTGGTGACCTATAGTTAAAATTGAGAATGGAAATTGGGAATGTGTCAAAGAGACAACAACCCGACCATAGAGCAGACAACAGCCGAAGGCCACCAATGGGTCTTCAATGCAGCGAGAAACTCCCGCACCCGGAGGCGTCCTTCAGCTGGCCCCTAAACAAATATGTATACTAGTTCAGTGATAATGGACGTCATACTAAACTCCAAATTATACACAAGAAACTAAAATTAAAAATGATACAAGACTAACAAAGGCCAGATGATCCTGACTTGGGACAGGCGCAAAAATGCGGCGGGGTTAAACATGTTTTTTGAGATCTCAACCCTTATAGTTGCTTACATCCACATCTTATGGACTCTGGTGGATATTTGTCGCATTGGCAATCTTACCACATCTCCATATTTTTTTACTTTACACAAATTTTTGCTAAAGGAAGAAAACCTAAACGCAAACATTTGTTATTATGGCCTCATGAATCTTTCACCAAAAAATTTGTAATCAAATTTCGGTCTTGGAGAGTTTTTCGTTTGTTTGCGAGTGTTCTTATGTGCAGACCTTTCGATTTGTCTCAGTCGTGTATTGTCTTAAGGGTTTCGAATGCCCTGTTGTCACAGATTGTTTGTGTCGTCTGAGACATCTAATTAATCATAGCGTAAAATATGTTGATATTTAAACTAAAATAGCCAGCAATTAGCTGAACAACTAACATACCAAAACCACTTGGATAAGAGATTTTATTAATGTTAAACGGAAGCTGATTTTAACTTTAATCACTATCGATAGTTGATGATATCCTTTATAATTTCGGAAAACAATCCGGCAAATAAAAACACATTAGTGTTCAAAGGTCAATGTCAATTGTATTTGATTCCCGTTGAAGGTGAATGACCTATGTAAGAGAAATATGCAGTACGATACTATGTGCTCTCTAGTTCATCTGTACTCATTTTGTCCTTATCAACCTGAAAACCTATTAAACCTTAAAAAGTGTTAATTGTTAGACCGCAAGAGGTGTAGGAGTAGCTATAGTACAGTGGAGTAGTATAGTATGACACAAGAAAAAAAGGATTGATATTATGAGTTAAAAACAAACTAGTCATTTTGTAAAGAATTTTGAACGTGCAGCTTTAATAAGACTTCAAAAGTCAAAAGACCCCGACCCCCCATAAATAAAAGAGAGAGAAAAAAAAAAAAAAAAAAAAACCAACCAAACAAACAAACACGGAAAAAACTTAAAAACAAGAAAAAATACAACAACAAATGATTAAACTACAAGAAATCAAACACACGTATTGTGCATAAATATAAAAAACGAGAAAAATTTGTTTGACACATTCTACAAATAAATTACACTGCAGTCTAAAAGTAAAAGACGTATAGATACCGGACCTAAACGCAGTTTATTTTTTGCATCTTGTATGCAATTTCCCTTTTTATACATATCTACGTCGCATCCATTCTTTTCAGGTACTGACTCAGGATTTATGAGTTTCGACCATGAAGAGTGCCACCGCAGATGTGTAATCCTATAATCGAACTTTCAATCGCGTTTTAAACGATAAATTCTTTAAATACTTTTTAAGAAACATTGTTATGATAATTCTCAATTCATTTCGATGTTTGGTAACTTAATTTGGACGCATTCTGTTCTCATAATGGATCTAACAACACAATACACACTGATGATGTAGGGGAGAGAGTAATGTTTATTAATGAAGACTGCATTCATTTCCTTCCGTGTATACTGCTGTTTTGTCATTTAAACTTTGAAAAGATAAATACAGTTGGTTGGTTGTACCTGTGGCAATTATATCATGCCTATTCAGGACGAAAACAGTTGGTGATGTAGCGTTAGAATCATTGTACCATTAGGGATGGAATACATCCACTCATATTTGAAATGCATTTGATTTTCAATACCTCAGTTTGTGAATTTGAAGAACATCGTATTTCAAGAGATTTTATTGGAGATTACGATAACATCAAGTAAAAAGTTTCATACAGAACTTCAACAGTATGCATTTTGTGCAAATTTAAAACACATTTCATGCCTCTGTTCAATTCACTCTGTGGCGATATGCCGGTTATTCTCCTTTCTCTGGAGGGAGTAGCACTGGTTGGCTGCATTTCAATAAAGAGTTGAGAAATTAACAGTTTCATCTTTTACGATTTATTTCACGTTAAACATGCGATATTCTTTTAGCCTTTCTTACGTCTGACAAGAAACCGTAGTCTAGTATAAAGCTAGAGATTATTGTATATAAGGTATAAATAATCTATTATTTTTTTTTGCCATAGATCTGCACAACAGCGAGGCAATATCTGATAAAAAAATTGTAAGGGTTCCGTGGAACCCAATGTCTCGCCTACTTTTGCTGTTAGTCGCAGGCTAAACAAAAATGGGGAAAAAATTATTAAAAATTTCCTGTAGATACTATCTTTTGATTGTAAGAAGCTTCTGTTCAAGTTTGGTAAAATCCAAGAAGGTTTATGAATCTAATAAATGTTTTAAAAACTTTAACTGCAGACTATGTAATGTTAACTGGAAGAAAAACTAAGTCCATTTATAAGTAATATACGGATAAACAGGAATTTTTTTTTTACAAAATTTCCTTCTAGATACTAGCTTTTGATCATAAACAAGCTTCTGTCAAAGTTTGGTACAAATCCAGGATAGTTTAAGAAAGTTATTAAAATTTTGAAAACTTTAACCACAGAGTGAATGTAATGTTAACTGGCAGAAAAACTAAGTCCATTTATAAATAAAATACGGATAAACAGGATTTTTTATAACAAAATTTACTTTTGAATACTATCTTATGATCATAAACAAGCTTCTGTCCAAGAATGGTACAAATCCAGGATAGTTTAAGAAAGTTATTAAAATTTGAAAAACTTTAACCACAGAGTGAATGTAATGTTAACTGGCAGAAAAATTAAGTCCATTTATGAGTAAAATACGGATAAACAGGATTTTTTTTTACAAAATTTACTTCTGGATACTATCTTATGATCATAAACAAGCTTCTGTCCAAGTTTGGTAGAAATCCAGGATAGTTTAAGAAAGTTATTAAAATTTGAAAAACTATAACCACAGAGTGAATATTTGTGGACGCTGCCGCCGACGACGACGCCGACGGAATGTAGGATCGCTATGTCTCGCTTTTGCGACCAGGCTCGACAAAAAAGATATTTAAGGGGCAATTAATCCTTAGGTCGTCAGATTTTTCTCCAATTTTCAGGGTACATACATCTTGTCGTGCTGATTCTTTTTGCAATTTAAACTTTAAACCTAGCTCCAATAGTTTTCACAGCCGATATTTCAGGGGCAATAACTCCAACATGAGTAGTTAGATTTTTCTTTTGAAACAATGGCAGGCAATATCAAATCACTTTAAAATCAACATTTCAGGTGCAATATCTCCAAAACAGGTGGGCAGATTTTTCCAAAACGTTTCAGGTATATAGATCTCGATACGCTGACCATTTTTACCATCTCAGTTTTTCTCGAATTGCTATCATAAGTTTAAAGAGTTATAAGCCAAAACTGCAGTTTGACTCCTATGTTCTATTTTTAGACATGGCGGCCACGTTGGTTGATCAACTTGAACGAAAATCACTACATTTATAGTTGACATCCTAAAGATGAAGCAGACACACTTTGGTTTCAATCCATATACAGCGTTTCAAAGTTTTTTTAAAGAAAGTTTTACGGACGATGGACGACGGACATAAAGTGATTGCAAAAGCTAATATGGCCCATCCGACCAGGTAAGCTAATAAAAAGCATATTTGAAATTGAAAATGCGTGTGCGTGTGTGTTTTGTCACTTCGACTATGTAAAAAAATAGTTTGCCTCTTATAATCATACTGTCCGTAAGAAACAAGGACATTTTGTAAACTTTTATTTCATGGAAATTTTACAAAGTTCATACAATTTACACATTCTTCATACAGAAAACAACATAATTATTTATATATTAAATTTAAAATATTACTATAATGAAACTTAACAATTATCCATATAACATTATAAGACAGACATTATTAATAAACAATAAACTGACCATTGAGCACATTGTACAAAGCAAATGTTTTTTCTAATTGTTTAGTTACAGTAATCAGCATCTCGACTGACACGTTTCCAGTTAAGGTTTTATTCCAGAAACGGCCAAACAAAATCACTGACTTGAGACTTTGAGGAAATAGCAGATTCAAAACTTTTACGCGCAACTTCTGGCTGCTTTGATTATACATTTTACAGAAAGGTATGTTCTGCACAGTAACTTATTACTTTTACTATTCTTGCTCATTCCTTACTCTTGTAATCTAGCTCCTATACTATTTGTAACAATGTCAAAAAAAGTAAAAAAAATCTTCATTTCAGGCAAAAAACTCCGTAATAGGTTAAAAAAATTTCCCAAAATGCTTAGTAAAAAAAGTTCACTTTCTACATATTTACCCTATTACTTTAAATGCCAATTTTAGTACCACTTAAAATCATTTTATTTTTATCAACCACAAAAGCATGGGTTGTTCTATACTTTCTTGTTCCATTTACTGAGTAGCTAAATGAGACCGTTATTACGTTGATAATTGAAGTGAAGTTAATAATCATGACCAAAAATATATTTTGACAGAAACTAGGAATCTGACCGGTTGATTCACTGAATTGAAGAAACTCTCTACGATCAGACTTTGTTAGAGGCACTGAGGCGATATGCACTACTTATAGCAGAGACTTAAATCATAAGACTCTGGAACTACATGTTAACTAGGAAAGTAATCAGTTCAAAGAATTAAGATAGACGCCTCCACTTAAAACCACAATCTTCCTATAGCTATTCCAGATTCCTACTCAAATATGCAATTCATTATACCGCTACCTTGTCTTATCATTTGCATTGATCCGATATAATTTTATAAACTGTTAATGGTTTTTTTTGTGTGTAGGCGTAGTTTCGCTTGTTATATAATAGCTCGAGGGAGGAAAAATGGGTATTTAAACAGATGTACATGAATACTTTAAATTTCAAATACATTTAGTTTCAATAATTTTTACTACATTTCATTGGTAGCTAGGCATGGCGTGCATATCAAAATGAATAAAACATGATTTATAATCTTAAAATACTATATGTATACAGAAATGAGGTGTACAATGTTAATCCAAACTACAAAAAAAAATAAATGAAAAAAACTTGAGTAAGAATAATTTAGAATACATAAAATAAAGAAATGTTCCACCATGAACGTAAGCTTATACCTTCATCAGATTTGAATGGACCAATTTATGTACAATTTTGACGGTTCTAGACGTGACCAGTGACACCAATCCTTTCTCTGTGGCATAGCTGATTAAATGAGGACCTTGATGCAAAACAAGATTGATACTTTGTATCAAACAGTCCTCGGATTTTGCAACTTTTCAATGTAATAGTTCCAAGAGTACAGACATTAATAGAGTGTTCCAATGCATTGTTACACTTTACCTTAACTTTAAATTATATTGATATGACATTACATTGTATTTACATCAAGAATGTGCATTACCTTAACTTTTTTTTATTTATTAAAATAATACACATGGTATGATCGCATGTAATACTAGTCAAAATTTACAAAACAGTCCAAAAACTGCTGAGAAAAAAAACCAAATCAAAATTGTAGTATAGTATGGTCAATAACACATAGTAACAATTCTAATATTTATGAAAAATTTGGACAATATATCTCATAGCGTCATTACGCATGGTAGAAGTCACACAACTCCCGCAAACATTGTCACATCAAAATGGTGGTAAAGCATGGTCAACTACACATGTTAATAATAAATCCTACCAATTATGAAAGTTTTCTGACAAATGCTATTTGAGAAGCAGTATTCATTGGGTCTAACTATGCTAAAATATGCCAAATAAAATGCTTCGCAGAGCAGCATGATAAGACCGCAGAGGTCGAACCCTGAACAGTTGGGGCAAATTTGGATATAATATTCAAGCTTGATACTGTCTGAATTTTGATCGTATCAAATTTTTGACATAATATAGGTTTCTGACACAAAATAAATGTGGTAAAAGATCTTACAAATCTATTGCGCAATACTGTGCAATTGAAGATTACTTCTTGAAACTTTTACAAAATTTGAAATTTTTTGAAAAAATATGAATTCCTTAAAAAAATCGGAACCCCCCCCCCCCCCCTTTTGATTTGGTCAAAGTTCCATAACTCCTGCAACAAACAATCGAATCAAAATGGTGACATAGAATGTGACCTTCACATGGCGACCAATCTTAACAAGTATCAAAACTGAACCAAAACAACTCACGTGTTCAATGTAGGCCTTATTTTATAACGGACTCTCGTTGTTAGTATAGACATGTCAACTTCCAATTTTTCATTCCCCTATGACTTGTGACCTTCACAGCAACCGACCCAACTTATTCATGCATAAAATGCATGTTTCTGAGAACAAGTTTTAATGAAATAAGTCACTATTCAAGAGTTGGAGGCTGCAAAAAAAAAAAAAAAAACAACCCTAAACGCTTTGCTTAAAGCGTGATATAGTTTAATTGCATTCTGTATTGAACACATTCTGACATGATATCTTTCTGTATTTTCTATTTTTAGGTCAGACACTTCATAAAAGGAAATGTAGTGAGTAATTGATATTATTTACAAAGCTTTGTCCGAACACATTAGGAATAGTATGTTTCATGTAACTCATTCACTTGGATACATGTACATTCAATGATCAAGATCTACAGTACAGCATTAGATTATAATGTTGATAAACTTATAATTGGGAAAAACATTTTCAAGGTCATCATAATACGCATATAATAAACAATAATTGTAAGTGTTAAATTCTATTTGAAGGACAATTTTTACCGCTCACATTTTTATTTGACGCCTACATCACAACATTAATATGCATGTACACATAAACTGATATTAACTCCTAAACTGTACTTGACTTGTGCAAAACACTTTAAAATAGTTAGGAAGTTTTATAATTGGCAAGCAGTTTCATAATACAAGTTCTATCTGATGAATAGGAGTTGAGAAATCTATTTTCGTTCTCACCAAAGATGCCAGGCTTATAATTAGTGCATTTAATAAGCACATGATATGCTTTATTCTTGGTTCCGCATTTTCTTATCAAATCAAACGTAAAACTAAAACAAACAGAATATTAATCTAATTGCATTTATCTTCGATAATTGTATCATTATACTGAACATGTATACTAAAGAAAAATGCATACTAAGAATAAGTTTAATGTATACTACACGGAAATCTCCAAATATCTATATAGGTTGATATTCATTAGAATTCCATTTGTTCTTAAAGATAAGTCTCCTGGAAATTATTCTATTGACAATCAAGATGGTTCACCGATGTTGACTTCATATTGATGTTACACCAGATTTGTTGTCGTAGTATGCATTTCAATCTTGAATTTTATCCTCAGTCCTTGTGAGGAAAACGGAGAAACTCACTGACATGAAAGCTACATATAATGAAACAAAGTTGGCAGTTAACCTAAAAGGAAGAGGTTTTGAGTTAACTGTACATGCATAAAATAATAACGTGTTGTTTTCATTTTTCACATATCCAACGAAGATAATCATATACACTAGTATGAACAGAACTATAAACACTTCATTATTAAATGTGTATCATTTTATTCTCCTTCACAAATGGCATTTCTAATTTAGATATATGTTAATTGGTCAGATGGATAGACAAAAATCTTATTAGATCCCCTGCCTATCCCATAAAATGTGATCCTTAACTAACCCCATATTATCTGTACACAATTCTATTAAATTTTTTCCAAACTTATGTATAATACATAATATTATATTTATAACACAATTCTTATTTACAGGTCTATAACCTTACATTGCACTTAAATTCTCCAGACTAAGGTAAATCTTTAACAATGTCACATGTCAGTATTCTGATCAACTAAGCCTGTTTCACTCTGTTTATCGTCTGAGAAATGCTCCTGGACAATCTGAGCTAGCTTTGTGAGCTGATCTGTAGCTGAGGAAGATTTAGCTCGAGCAACAGATTCAACTCTTGCTTTACTTATTTCAACGTCCGCTGCAGACGGGGATTTAAATGCAAAATTTGGTTTTGAGTCTTTGAAACTTGACTCCGAGTTTTTATCATCCTGATTCTCAACACCTGAGTTCTGTCCATCGTTGCTAGTCCCTGTACTCGATGTATCACTAGGAGTCCTTAGACTCTCGGCTGGTGGCACTAGTTTTAATGAGTCTATACTAGTTGCCATTGATTCACTGTCTTGTGAAAACAAAGTCAATGCTGGTTCTTCCGCAGGTCTTAGTGTTTTGGGAGACTGACTTTCTTTACTTCTAGTTCTGATTTTATGACTTTCGTCTGAAGACGACCCCGAAGATGGGCGTGAACGTTTTCCTTCTGGAATAGGTTGACTGTTACTGTGACCTCTTCCTTTTGGAGTTGAACTCCTCTCACGCTTACTTTCCTCCACCATCGAATAAGAATGTCCTCTATTTGAACTGAGGCCTTCTTCACGTTTTGGGCTATGAGAATGACTTCTACTATGAGATGACGATGTCATTTGATGCAGACGTACATTTGGCATTTTTTTCGAATGTTTTTTCTTCCTTTTTGACAAATCTTCCATTTGAATTTCTTGAAAAGGGGAATTGTCAACAGGTGAAGGTGTATGACGACTAGAAGCGTTAGTTCCAGTATGTTGATTAAAAGTTTGGTAAGCAAAAGCTTCTTCGGCTATTTCAACACTATCAGTTGATTCGTTGATTGTTTCTTGGCCATGAGATTTGATAGGCATTGACTGAATTGGGTCTACTTGTTGCGATCGCGGTGTTGGTGTGCTTACTGGAGTAGTTTCTTGAGACTGCTGAGAAGGTGTTGACACACTACGAATTGGATGACTTCTCCCTAAAACGAAATTGATAGTTATTAAAAATAGATAGTCATAAAAAAAGAACCTTGTGATATATTCAAACATACCGAGTAAAAAGCCAATATCTTCAACACGTAGACAAAATAAATCGGGAATGTGTCCATGGGACACAGATGATGCCCCCGCTTGCATATCATATAAAGTTATAAAGGGTCATAACTGAAGAACGGTAAAAGTGATGCTACCCAAATTTGTACTGATCTGAGTTTTGTGGTGATAAATATTGTGTATAAGTCTCATAACATTTGGTTGAGGCTATCTTAAGTTAGAGAATGGAAACGAAAAATTCAGTAATTTTTATGTTTATAAAGGGGCATAACTCAAGAACAGTTACAGTGACGCCACCAAAATTCAAACTTGATCTGTATAATGTGGTAATATGTATTGTGTATAAGTTTCATAACATTTGGTTGAGGCAAACTAAAGTCAGAGAACGGACACGAAATATGCAGCAATTTTTATGATTATAAAGGGGCATAACTCTAGAATAGTTATAGTGACGCCATCAAAATTCAAATTTTATCTGTGTTTTGTGGTAATATGCATTGTGTATAAGTTTCATAACATTTGGTTGAGGCAAACTAAAGTTAGAGAACGGAAACCAACTTTGGGACGTACGGACGAACGAACGAACGGACGGGCAATGGTATACCATAAAACGTTCCGTAAATGGGCGTATAAAAATAAGGAGAGGTGGTTTATGTGCCAATGAGAACTCTTCTCAACAGAGTTAAAACGACCTGGATATAAGAAATTATAGGTCACCGTACGACTTTTCTCTAACAAGCAAAAAACCCTAGTTTATTATTTCCACCTTTTACTTTAATTGTGTTTGGTGATTGGTGTTTGCTTAACGCCGCCTCAGCACATACTTTAATTGTATATTTGTATCAAAATGTGTAACTTTTAAGCCATTTAAAACCTTTTCAACGCGACAAGAAGTTGTCAAAAATAATGCATAAAACTACTTCATGATTTCTAAAATCTTTTCCACTGGAAAATGCATATAAATTTTCCAAGATATTCAATATTATGCAGATTAAAATTATACGACATAAACCATCTAATATAAAACGAGGCAGAAAATACCAAGGGTACATTCAAAAATCATTAGCCAAAGATAACCAGACAAAATACCATGGCCAAAAAGAAAAAAAATAAACCAATCAAAATATACCGTACAGTTCGCACTAAACATGCACGTTCTTTCTTTTGTATTTAATATATAAATATATATTAAAAATGAAATAAAACAGCGGAGACAATTAGGAAATTTAATAGTCACTTTCTCAAATATTTCGTTTTATGAAGAAAAATCCCCCAAAAATTATGTTCCTGTAAAAAATTAAGTTCGTGTGATGAATAGTTTATGGAGACAAAATCAATTTACAAGATTCTGTTATAGCTATATATGCCTTATCCTTTTTTTAATACCTTTTTCGTATTTTCATGTCTTGTAGTCTTTGCTTGTTAAAAGTTAATTACTTTCAGTGTGCCATTAATGTTATTACAGAAAAGCCTTTCGAGCTAACACGAATATATTTAAATTCAATACTTGTGGAAGTTTTATCACTGTATATTAATAAAAAAAAAATCAAATGAATATAATATGCAAATTTACCAAACTATCAATAATAATTCACATGAAAAAAAAACATTTCCCCCCTTGAAATGACGTTAAATATGCTATTTTATCAGTAAGATAATAAAGAAGTAAAAATGAATAAAAACGTAATAAAAAATAATTTTAAAATAGTTCTGATCATATGTGACTAGTTTTTACTGCTTTGCCATTCTGTTAATTTTATTCGAATATTTTTCTTCTTTAAAAATTAACCTGATTATCTAACAAAAGTCTTCGTTTTAAAAATTTATTAACAATTTTATTATAATTTTTTCTAGAAGTTGAACCGAAAAAATGGTAGAGGCCAAACTGATAGTAATATTATGGCCTCTACACTTATAGTAATATTATAACTTTACAAACAATTTAGAATGGCAAATGTTTATCAGAAATATCTTGTGTCTCCTAAATGAAAGAATAAATAATTAACTTCAAATAAATTTTAAAACATTTTATAAATCTTTCATTCTAAATTTATAAATCAGCTGATTTTGATATCAAAACAAATGTTATACAACATTTAAAGTTTTCCCAGAACTAATTTGCATACTGTTCCAAGAAGTGTAATCATCTCCGTGTTATGACAACACTAGCTTGTGATTCAGTTTAACAGGGCATTGGCCTACATCCAAAACATCATATAATTGTTACACCCAAGTTAAAATGACTATGATTGATTATGTAGGTCAAATATCTGCCACATAATTATTTTTTTTTTATATTCAAAGCTGCTGTTGTTTATAGAAAAAAACAAATATTCATACTTCATATCTACCATAAAATCAAACTCTTGAAATTAGTACTGAACTGTAGTAGAGACACAATACAATTGATTGTACAATCTCTCACTGTAGTAATCTTCTTTCATCTACTAACACGATGCTTCAAGCCTCAACAGAAAAGGGAAGATTAATTTTATCTTTTTCAATTTTCGTGATGCTTGTTTAAAATAAAATCTCAATATTTATCAGTGTTCCACTGTATTAACAAAAGTATAATTAAAAGTAGTTAATACATTGCTCCTTCGCAATAAAATTATTCTAAAGGAGAAAATAATAAAGCGTCTGTTGTGCTGTGAAAATAGTAGTCGATATCATTTTCTTAGTACCGATCAGTACCAAAACCACAGCTGATCAGTAAACTGAACAAACAATTACTTTATTCCAACCAACAGATTTCAACACAGACAAATAAAAAAGATCAAACAATGTTCTTCGGATACTGTTTCTTGATATAATGAAGAAGATTTTACCCGAATTTCTTTATTGCCCACTAAATAAATTTATAGTCAGCAAAATTGAAAAGCAGACTAACTGCAAAAATGCCAGTATATCAGTAAATATTGGAAAATGACAAAAAATATATATTTATAAAATTTTTCTTCAGATGTTATCTCGGTATCAGAAAAAGGCTTGTGCTCGAAGTTTGACAAAGTTATTGGTGTCATAATAACTTAAAGACGGAAACCAAATATTAACATCGAAAAAAAAAATAAAGTCCATTTATCAATAAAAATCAGAAAAATAAAAAAACAATATATTGAAATGTAACTCTGAATACTCTTTTGATCGCGAAGAATGGAGAATGGTCTACACTGTACATTTAATATGTATGGACATATAAAATGTAAAATGGGAGATTTTTTTAACAATTCCATAATGGAAGGTGCATTGCACTCTCTGTGAAGTTCCAAAGATCGGGGTTTAAACACAATTTGTACAGTCTTTTGTAAATTCAGATGAAAAATGAAGCCCCGATGGTTAAAACTGTCCGGAGAGTTGATTACAGAAAACTTGTACCATCTTTCATAAAATTTTGCTGACAAATGACTTGTTCCCAAGTCTTGATAAATATGAAAAGTTCCTCAAACAATTCCACAACTCCGACATGTTTGCAATCTCCATGTGAAGTTTGAGAGAGCAATTTGAAAACTGTAGGAGAAAATGATTACACAACTCTGGTACCGTCTTTCGTCAATTTTGCTGAAAAATGACTTTATAAGTTCTTTAGTTTTATGTCGTGTTTCGTAGACTGTTGTTTGTATTTTTGTCGTTTTTCGTTTTTTGCCAAGGCATTGACAGTTCGTTTTCGACGGTTTGAATATCCCTTTGGTATCTTCCGCCTCTCTTTCTCGAAAGTCTCGAAAAGGGAGAATATATCCTCGGAACAATTCAATAATAGCAAGTGCACAAGTTATACATACATGTGTACAATCTTTGACGTTTCAGGGATCTGAGTTGAAAACTGTAGGAGGTAATTACACAAATAAGATATCCACTTTTCGCGGACAACCAGAACGAAATGCAGTTCAATAATGTCATCATTATGCACAAATGTACTACAAAATTGGCTCAACATATGTTGGCTTAACAAAAAAGTTCGAAGAACTTTGATTTCATAATAAAGAAATGACGACAGGACGAACATTGGTAACGTTATATGTACCGGTTACTTAGTGCTGGGGCATAACAACCAAATGATATTTTCTGATCATATGACGATCGGATATTTACGTGCAGGTGAACACAATATGTGAAAATCCATTGTACCTAACAATTCACAAATATAATCTTTTATATTTCAAAGCATTGAGTTAAAAAAGTTGCAAGGAATATAGTGAGTTATAAGTGATGGATAGAAGGACAAACAAGTTAAAACAATTTATCCACTTTAGAAAGGTATACAAATACTCATGAAAAAGCCAACTTTATCTAGCATTGTCTTGTTCATCCAATTATCAGTCAATCTTTGTATAGAATTGAGCAACGAATAACGCTCAATTTTAATTGTAAAAAGAAAATTTGGAGACTTCAAAATCACCCAAGGAAGCTTCAGATGGTAAAGCATACACAATCTTATTATGACAGGTCTGTTCATATTGAAGTTAAACTTTTAGTATACATGTATACTAGTGTGTCTGATAATTAGATGTGTTAATTTCCCAAACTTCTCGTGAAACAGAAAATAAATCATTGGAACTCGATAGTAGGAATAGTACAGTTTTACTTTCATTATATTAACACCCTGTCACTAGAAATGAGCCAGTCAATCATTCAACGATCTATGTAATTGGAAACTAAGGGAAAAGTGAAATGAAACCTACTCCTAAAAAATATATTCACAGAACAATTATTATCAACCTGTCATGTATAGTTAACATGTACAGCTCTAACACTTCACCAGCACTCTGGGGTATTGAATAACGTCAAGGCACACATGTCAAGTTTATTTCTTTTCTCAAACCAAAAATGAAATGAATCCTTGAAATTAAGCCCGACTACTAAAGCATGAAATTGAGGATAGTGCCTTTTTAAGCAAGTCAGACTGACATATATTATTAACGGTCACATA